TGTACAGGATTACACATAGGCTGCCATTATTTGCATTTATAATCCTCTCCTGCTGCTGTGGCTGTGTGTCTGCTTAGATAAAGAAAAAATTATCTCCTTTTCTTTTTTTTTTTTTTTTTTTACAGTGTCCTGTCTGGCAATATAGCAATAAGTATAATTGTCTTGATGCCAAAAAGAGCCCAACAGATTTTACTTTCACAAGTGGAGCAGTAGGGCTATTGCCATATTGTTCCGCTTGTTTCATGCATATAAATTGCTTTATTATAATTATGTAGGGAGTTTTACAGATTATATGGACACTGCTATGTAAGTAGAACAGAAGAGGAAAAACAGGGAAAAAAAGGTGAAAGATGAAAGAAAGAAATAGGAGATAGAAAGGTGATAATGATAAAACGTTTTCATTCTGCTTCATCACCTGCAACGAGATGTAAAAAGAACAGCACAACCAACAGACATGGTACGAGACATACAATAAAGTAACACCTTGAAACTATCGCTGAAGTAGTATTATTTAATCTGACATGTACTCTGTGTTACCTGAGGATAAGAATAATAATTATGATAATAATAATAATTATTAATAATAATAGAATAATAATAATGAAAAAAATATATATTATCTCCTTTTCTCGAGAAAACCACCTTCAAAAAAGTATCGGAGGGACATGACTGCTTTTGGCTTCCATAGTGCAAAGTATTTTAATAAATCTTTTAAAAACATGCACCAGTAGGGAGTGCTTGCCCCACTTCCTGCAGCCATGCATCTTATACGATTATTTGATGAATAGCCAACCTTACTTTTTTGGAAAAACTAATAAAGGTTCATAAAGTTTAGATACCTTGTGTTAGGATGGGTCAGGGCAGTCAGCAGACATACTATGATCTCGGCCATGATTACACCTAGTGTGTTACAGTAGCTATTCAGATCAGGAGGTTTTCTTCTGGATGGGAACCTTACGTAATCATTGACAAACTTAAAATACAAAGATTATGCTTATCCTGGCAAGGGGGGCAAGTAAAACATGGCCGTGTGTTCCGTCATTATGGGCCATGTGTTTCCTGTTTAGGAAGCAAGTGAGACAGACTCCAAATCGTAGCAATGTCCCAGCTAGAATATAGACAATGCGGTAATATAAGTTTTTGTGAAATAAGGCTGCAGAATCAGTAGCGGTCCATGACTCCAGTGTGTCTCAGTCAGGCCTTCTGAACATACAAGCAGATAGAGATCTATAAAATGCTGGACAAGGAACTCAAGAAAATTGGGCACAGTGCTTGTTAACAAATGAAGGTGTCAGCAAACACTTGGTACTATAAAGATTTTTAACCCAGTCATTGGGCTGTTGGTGGTCTCTTTCCATATTAAGTTTACCAGTGTTCTTTTTGCTACATTTCACCTTCAGCTGTTGCCAACACTATGTATTTGATGTCATCATTTCGTTGTGGCTGAACTACAGATACAAAAGCAAAATCTATTTGGAGCAGTAACAGTTGACATTATTCATGCCTCACTCTCCGCCACACTACCAACTTTTTAATAATTTGTCTGCTGCTGTACCAGATAAAACTAAACATTGAAAATGTTTTATCTAAATTTGAAGTACTCATACATCTCTAAAGTGAGACTCCTATTGGGAAATCTGATTCCAGTTTTGTTTTGCAGAATGTTAAAACAGATTGTAAAAACCAAAAAAAAAACTGTGATAGTAGGAAATTACCAAGTCATTTGCCTAAATATGTTTAAACACTTTTGAAAATGTTTCATAAATTGCTTGACAACTCAAAAAAACAATTGGAAGGAAGCTGGGTGTCTTGAGTGTCAGTACCATTAACACCTAAGGCTAAGGATTTAAATTTTTGCAAACATTGATTGATTTTAAATGCTGCAATCTTTTCTATGGTGGTCACAGTGGAAAACATTAGAACATCCTCAAAATATCCTTATAAGTACTGGATTTGTTTAACTAGGGTTAAAAAAACAATGTTATTATATGTGGTTTGGATCAATGTGCAACAGTTTTAAGGGAATGATCACAAGATCTGACGTGGCTTTAATTTCCTCTTGTCTTCCTGTAGTATTGAAAGGTGGAGCTTGTTCAATGGGACACTAAATGTGAAAGTAGAATAATATCTTTACATACAACATTTAGATTGGACACAAATCAACATGATTTGCGTAAGTTAAGAAATAAGATCTTAAACAAAAATAGATTCCTTAGGACAGCACATTTAGAAAGTCAAACAAATCAATAATGGTTTAAGAGACCTGAAGGATTTTGGTTGGGGTTAAAATGTTGGATACAATTTCTTGCCCCCAAAAAAGGAATACATAACCAGATTAACTGTATGAAAAAGAATCTCNTTGGATACAATTTCTTGCCCCCAAAAAAGGAATACATAACCAGATTAACTGTATGAAAAAGAATCTCACAGTAACGGAACAACCTAGAGCTATTTTAATTCATTGAATGGGATAGAATTTTTTTAAAACAAACCCCTACACCAGTAGATGCAGAACACAGACAATTACCCCAGAAGCAACCTGAGATGCAGTTTTTTTTTTTTTTTTTTGCCTTTTAAATTGTTAAGTTTTGTTACTTTTTTAATTTTGTCACTTTATGGGCTCTGTCCCCTGCAAACCTCTTCTTTCTTAAAGTAAAACACAGCAGGACTGTGCAGTTGACATTAGGTCATTTCTGAGAAATGTAAACATCATTACAGATGTTGCTGGAATTACCCTCTCACCTGTAGTGTAATAGCCTGTTATAACCTGCTAGATTAGGTATCCTGGTAGAACTCAGGATTTATTACTGTCATTTATTACTTAATGAATTCTACATAAATGGGCAGAAAATGGAAGATTCTTGGGAGTTCTTTAATAATAAGACCTATTAATACTTAAGCTAAACATTTGCACCCCTCACATTCTGTTCTGCATGCAATTCCTATCAAACATCTGCTATTGATTTATCAACTTTTTCAACCCCTAGTTCAGGCAGGATTTATGTGTTTGGGTTTCACTGGACAACATCCAAATACAAGTAGGTTGCAATTCTTACACACACACAAGTTCAGGGAGACCAGTCAACCAAACATGCATGTGTTTGGACCATGAAGAGTAGTCTTGTGAAGGAACAG